CGCGTTTCCCTCCGCACGCCAGCCTTGTCCGCGCAAGCCCTCCCCGCGGTGCGCGCATTCCCCGCGCGGGCGGAGCGCGTCGTCGCCCCGCGCGCAGCGGTGGCGGAGGCGGGGAGCGAGGCGGCGGCGGAGGAGCCTAAGAAGGTGAAGGTGCTTTCAGTCAAGGAGGGCAAGCAACGGCTGCTCCTTAAATTCGTCTGGCTCGGTGCGTCCCGCATTTCTCGCTCCGCGGCTTTAGGACCACGCGTCAGGGTTATGGGTTGTCGGTATTCCTTGATAGTCGGACGCGAAGCCAGGAACAGACGGATGCCAAAGCTAGGGTTCCGGGTTTACCTTTATTATACTGCAGCTGTAGCTGGGACGATTACGCAGTATCTTGGCCACACTAAAGGTCACATGCGGATGCCTGCATGGCTTGGAGTCTCCTCAGTCTCGTCTCTTACGAATCTGAGAATATCGACGGCATTCCTATCGTCCGTATGCATACATGCGGACAGAGCTGTAATCGTCGGCGTGGGTTGAAGTATAGGTAGCCAGCCGCTTACGTGTGTTTTGTGGTTGGCCGATCCTGCTAGTGTCTGCAAATTATTGCTGACTGTTACCTCTGCTGGCTACCAGACGTTTTTTTCTACTCATGAATCTCATCTCTCTATTTTCAATGGTGGAAATTGTTCTTGGGGCCCCATTCCCTGTGGTCTCACCGCTGCTTCTCATCACTCGCTGCTCTGTCTTGTGAAGCTGTTTCTCCATGCCACCCTATTCCCTGCTCTTTAATTCATGCTTCTACCTTTTTCTTGTGCTTCCGCCTTCTCAGAGACCAGTATCTGGATTGCAATATGTAGCGTTGGTATTGCGAAGAACAGCATGGGTTTCTTCCATATCCATCAATACTCACTTGCCTCTCGTTTTCCTGTCCCCTTTTCACGAATTCCAGAGAAGAACATTGGGATTGCCGTGGACCAGATGATTCCCGGGCAGGGCACTGTGCCGGTCAGCTCGTACATGTTCTGGCCGCGCAAGGATGCCTGGGAGGAGTTGAGGGAGCTGCTGGAGAGCAAGCCGTGGCTGTCGCGCAAGCGGGTGATCATTCTGCTCAACCAGGCCACAGATATCATCAATCTCTGGCAGCAAACCACCTTCAAGCCTTGATGGGATGGTTATATGAACCGTCAATCTGATTGTTACAATGTACACAATGTATCGTGTGGATTTATAACGGTGGTTGTGCAAAGCAAAACGGAGTGTTTTCAAGCTAAGGTTGAGAAACAAGCTGGGTGTGTTGAAGAAAACTCTGGCTGTTATACGGCTCTGAAAGCAAAGCGCCTTGAGGCTTGGGATATGGCAAATCCCAAGCCTGTATTTTACGGTGCAAATGTTGCCCTTCTATTTTGCAGGCCATGGTTCTGTAGCAACTTTACAGAATTATAGTTATGTACTGTATCTGTACACTTATTACAGCGGGGATTCCCCGAAGGTCTCGTGCCATTTCGGTTCGGCCTAAAAATTTCGCCCCGAACCACTCCCGAGGCGCCACCGCACAGTTCGTACCTTTCCGAGCCTCGGTTACCCCGAGGTCCTCGCCTAGCTCGACACTGCCTATTTCTAGCTTCGTAAAATCTTCCTTTCAGTAGTGTTCAGTACACTCTGTTGTTCCGACCTTGAGTGCATTTCAGCTCTTTTGAAGCAGCGCACTCATAACAGCTAACAACTATTCATGAGCTGATCATCTCTGCTGTTCAAGCCCTTGCTCTGCCTCACTTCCCTCCCTCTTCCTCTCCCTTCGTTCCTTTGCCTCCCTCCGCTTATTCCGCGTGGATGGCCTTCGTGTAACACGTAGCAGAAGTCAATAGATGCATTTTCTTGACGTATCTCAGTCAATCATCGCATGGCCTCACCTCTCCTCCGCCCTTCGCGCGTGTCTCTCCTCCCCTCCTCGCGCGCAGTTTACAGCTTCTCATTCTGTCGCACTCTGTCGCATACCGTCCCCTTCCGTCGCACTCAACTCCTTCCCAGTCGCTCGCGTCAGTCTTCCCCTTCCCAATTGCCTCGCTGCTCTCCCCGCCAGTCCCTCCTTCCTCCGCCTACTCTGCATTCTGCTGCGCGCCATTCCCCGCGGTTTCCGCACTCCCCTCCGCCGGGAATCCTGCGCCGTCACAGCAGTCGCGCGCAATTTGCTGCGCGCCAAGCGGAAATGCTCAGCGAAGGCGGGACACATTCGAATGTGACTGATCAGGGGGTGACTACTGCAGAGAAGGCTAGTGGCAAGCTGAACAAAGAAAACCCATTGGATCATCAACAACAGGAAGAGGAACAGGAGCAGCCACACCAGAAGGAGCAGCAGCAGAATTCGTTTCCCGGCGAGTTTCTAACGTTTTTGAAGGAGAACGGGATCGACCCGAGCATCTACAGCCGCCACGCCGACCTCCCAAGATACGTCAGGCAAGCATAAGTTTTTGGCGTGTCTTAAGTCGTCACTTTACCCGCAACTGCTTTTTAGGCGCCGTAAAGTTGACCCGAGCATCTACAGCTGCCACGCCGACCTCCCCAGATACGTCAGGCAAGTGAAACCCCGAGTGCATTGCCTCGACTGTGGGGTAGCTCAGGGAAGCAGAGGAAGGAGGTGCACGAGGTGCTGCAGATTGTTTTTGAGAATTCTCAAAAACAATGGGTAGCTCAGGGAAGCAGAGGAAGGAGGTGCACGCGGTGAAGGAGGAGGATTTTGCTGAGCTGCTGGGGAGCAAGGTGGAAAATTGCGGTCAGGGAAATTTACGCTTGGAAATTTACGGTGGAAATTTTCGGGCAAATTCTGAAAATTTCGGCGAAATTTTGTTAGACCTTCAAAAAAAAGTCCAAAATCTTCTGGCAGCAAAATGCCAGAGATATGCAGAGATCTGGTTCCCTAAATGGCATATCCACTTAGATCTAGTGGCAAAATGTCAGATCCGCCTAGACTTAGTGGCAAAATGGCAGATCCACCCAGATTTGGCAGCGAAATGTCAGATATATGCAGAGATCTGGTGCTTAAATGGCAGATCTGCTTAAAATTGGCAGCAATATGCCAGTAAAATTTCCATCCATCGTTTTTTCCCATTTATTCGCATTTTTTTTTTACTATTTTATGTAAAATTTCGGACGAATTTTTGCACCAGACTCATAATTTTTTTCCAGAGCGAAATTATCGTAAATTTCGGGGGAAATTTTCGATGGCGAATTTTTCGCTCAAATTTTGAAAAATTCGGCGAAATTTTGCACCCTGCTGGGGAGAGAGGAGGAACCCCAAGTGCATTGCCTCTGCTGTGGGGTAGCTCAGGGAAGCAGAGGTGCACGAGGGTGAAGCAGGAGGGAGGTTGCAGGGCTGCTGCTGGGGAGAGGAGAAACCCCAAACGAACCCTCTTCTCGTCTTTCGTCTCCTCCCTCGCTCCGCTCCTTCCTGCCAGGCTACGAGGAAGCTGAGTGAAGCAGAGGTGGAGGAAGTGAGGGAGGAGCTTGCATTGCAGGGATGCTGGGGAGAGGAGGAGCGCCGCCAATTGCGTTGCCTCTGCTATGTTGTTTGTTGCTGGGGGGAACAGCGGCCCCACCCGAACGTGCCTCTCTCTCCTCTTTCTTCTACTCCCGCCCTCGCTAACCGTCCTGCCAGGCTATGAGGGGGGCTGAGTGAAGCAGAGGTGGAGGAAGCGAGGGAGGAGCTTGCATTGCAGGGATGCTGGGGAGAGAAGGAACAGGCTTTCTCCTCTTTGATTCTCTTCTTCCCTTTTTTCTTTCTGCCAGGCTGCGAGGGGGGCTGAGTGAAGCAGAGGCGGAGGAAGTGAAAGAGGAGCTTGCAGGTCTGCTTGGGAGAGAAGGAATACCAACAGCAGCAGGCATGGTGGCAGTGCCATGGCTCAAAGGATTTTATTCTCTCCCAGGAGATTTCAACATTTCTGGCACCAGCGCGTACAAGAGAGGCCAGGTGAGAATTCAGGTGCAATGGTTCACTGCGATCCTCCAACGGCAGTGTTGCTCTTTCCCAGGAGATTTCAACGTTCGGGCGTTCAGGAAGGCCCAGACAAAATCCATATGCCTCTGCAACAATAGGAAAACAGGGTGAGTTTCTCAAAATCACAAGCCATTGCTGTTTTGATAATGTAAAAAAAAAAATAAAAAAAGGTGGCAGGACCAGCAGTCGGGTACTTAGCTGTCAAAGAGAGGAGGTGGAATCTATGGAGACAAGACAATGATGAAATTAAATTCGGTAGCGAGAAAACTTGAAGAGGGAAAATAACTCTTTGCAGAGCTTTGTGATTTCTCTGTAAAAAAAGTGGGAATACGATCAAACAACCTCCCACCCTGCTCTCAACCTCCCACACTGATTTCTCTGCCTCACTTCGGTTTTCACTTTCCCTCCTCCAGATATTTGGCATGGATGCAGCGTCAGGAGCAGCAGTGGCAGCGTTGCAGCTATCCCCTTCAGACCATGTGCTTGACCTCTGTGCTGCCCCAGGTGGGATTTTCGTTGCTGCAAGTTTTGAGGCGCCTCGAAAGTCGCCAAAAAAGACGTCCCTTGTGGCTCCTCAGAAATATCCCCATTGAACGTCGAACGGTGTTTAAATGTCTATGATCTCTGTGCTGCTCAGTGCCAACGTTGCCAAGATTCCCTTTCCAACCTCTGTCGCCTCGACCTTCAAGTCCTCTCACGTCTCAGAAAGCGCCGAGAAGGTCATATTTTGCAGTGACCTCTTCATTTTTTTTTTCTTTTTTTTTTCCTTCTTCTTACTGTGATAAATTCTGAAGAAAAATCTATACCCTTGATGCACTGTTATTGCTCTTTACCAGGTGCCAAGCTCTGCTTGATTCTGGATGAGCTGTCATCCGCCCCTTGTGCGATTCCAGTCGACGGTACTAACAGCTCAGTCCCTCTCAGCACCAGAGCACCCACAACAGACACAGTATCAGGCAGTGGAGCCAGCGCACCCAGTGTAACGGGCACAGTAACAGGCAGTGCGACTGACACACCCAGTGTAATGGGCACAGTAACAGGCAGTGCGACTGACACACCCAGTGTAACGGGCACAGTAACAGGCAGTGCGACTGACACACCCAGTGTAACGGGCACAGTAACAGCAGTTGACGTTTCACCGGCTCGCCTGGCTGCGTGTCGCACGCTGCTGCAGAAGCACAGGCTGACTGACAGGTGCCGGCTGTTCCTAGGAGATGCCACTGCTTTCCGCCTTGGACCACCTGTAGCTAAGCCGGGGACGGGACTGGGATCAGGATCAGGTTTACGATCGGAATCAGGAGTAGGATCAGAGATAGAATCAGCGAAGCCACGTGGAGCTGAGTTGTTCCTGGGAGATGCCACTGCTTTCCGCCTCGGGCCTCCTGTGGCCAAGCCGGGGATGACTTTTGAGACATCTGTAAAATCTGCACTCCGCCTTGGGCCTCCAGAGGCTAATCCGGAGATGCAACTGGGATTAGGGTTAGGATCAGCTAAGCCACATGGCACTGAGCTGGAGCAAGTATTGCCACATGTTGCTGTGGGAGAGGCTAGTCGAGTGATGGATGAGAGGGAAGTGATAGGTGGTAGGGCAGTGATCGTTGGTGGTAGTAGCAAGGGAATTTCCGAGCCAAGGGAGGTGGAGGAGAACGGACGGCTGTGGGAGCAGGAGGGAAGAGAGGGGCAGGATGGGGAGGAGGCAGCGGAGGGAGAAGAGAAAGAGGAGGGAGAGGAGGGAGAGGAGGGAGAGAGGGGAGAGAGGGGAGAGAGGGGAGAGAGGGGAGAGAGGGGAGAGAGGGGAGAGAGGGGAGAGAGGGGAGAGAGGGGAGAGAGGGGAGAGAGGGGAGAGAGGGGAGAGGGATGGAGAGCACCAAGAGGAAGAGGGAGTGAGGAGGAGGAAGAGGACGAGGAAGGAGAGGAGGAGAGCGAAGCACCTTCGCATGTTTGAATCAGCTTGTCAGGACACTGTAGCTGCTGCAGCAGCTGGCGCTGCTCCCACAACCACAGCAGCAGCATTGCCGGCATCAGAAACAGTCAATGCAGTAACAGCATCAGCACCATTGCTAGACGAGGCAGCAGGAGCATCGGCCTCAGAATGGATGAGAGGGGAACGACCGGAGCTGTTTTTTGTGGGGCGGACTGCCTGGCAGTGGTGGGACACAGGTGTTCGGTGCGGCAAGGAAGGGTACGACAAGGTGAGATGAGGCAATTAGGGTGCTGTTGCTGTGCGTGAGACGAGGTGGATACAGTTATTCTTTGTTGGGCGGACTGCCTGGCAGTGGTGGGACACAGGTGTTGGGTGCGGCAAGGAAGGGTATGATAAGGTGAAGCCAGGTGCTGGTAGATTCGGAGTGCACACACGATGGCTCTCTAAAGCAAGCCTGTTAGGATATTCACAGTTTCGTTTGTGTCACACCTGTCACACCTGTCACCTCCCCTCTGTCACACACCAGGTGCTGGTGGATGCAGAGTGCACACATGATGGCTCACTCAAGCAAGACTCCTGAGTTTCTTCATCTTTTCTTTTGTGTCACACCTCCCTTTCGTCACACATCAGGTGCTGGTGGATGCAGAGTGCACGCATGACGGCTCCCTGAAGCACATACTCAAGTACGACTCGTGGGGATGGCACACTCTCAACAAGAGGTTCCTTGACCCCCAGCGGCTTAGCACCCTCGCAGCACTGCAGGTGAGCGGCGTTATGCATTGTCATTACCACCGCCCCACACTGAAACACATTCTCGAGTACGACTCGTGGGGATGGCACACTCTCAACAAGCGGTTTTTGGACCCCCAGAGGCTCAACTCACTCGCAGCGCTTCAGGTAAGCAGCATTACTGAAATCTATTTCCTGTATGTGCACATCCCACATATCTGCAGCGTTGTAGATCCGTGATTCCACGTATGTGCACATCCCACCTCAATCCGCCGATTTCCTTGCTGCAGCAATCTCTTCTCGCAACAGGCTTCATGCGACGAAGACCAGGAGAGAGGTTGCGTTTCGAATTTTCAAAAGTGTACTCCATCCATCTCACATGCCATCTTATGAGGCGAATCAAAGGCGCTCCATGTGTCCTACGTGCCGTGCCGGTGACTTTCTAGTCAACTCAGGAGTCTTTCTCTCTCCACTCCTTCCCTCGCTGCAGCGATCCCTACTTGAAACAGGCTTCTTGCTTCTGAAACCAGGAGGGAGGCTGGTGTACTCTACGTGCAGGTGAGAATCTAGTGTACAAGAATAAATGTATACGTATATTGATGGTTTACTTATACAGTTGAAGCCACGAGGAAGGCTTGTGTACTCTACGTGCAGGTGAGAGTGTAGTGAACATTTAGTGAGATGGTTGCAAGTCTCGAATACAAGTCCCACCTGTAGTTGTGCTGTTGTGAACATTACGTGCATGTGTGTATATTTTGATGAAGGAATACTTCAAACACATGATTGATCTGATTCGTACACTGTAAAATCCCAATTCTTTCTCCTCTCACACTTCCCAAACTCCCAGCCTTGTGGTCTCACAAAACAAGGCATATACTCCTTTTATTTAGATGTTCTCAGAATCCCAGCCTTCTTTCGTGCGATGGTTGCTCTCCGACATCCCAAAGTCTACTTTCTTGAACCTATCCTGTCCATTCCTTTCCTTTACCTACCATTTCCTTCCTTTACAGAACTTCCGTTCTTGATTGTTACGCTCTCCTTTCCTTGCCTCTCCTTTCTTTTCTCCCCTCTGTCATTCCCTGTCTCCCAGCCTCACGGTCACGCAGAACGAAGACGTAGTGAGATGGTTTCTGGACAAACGCTCTAAAGATGCAGGTTAGTTTGACTTTTGAGTCGGCTCAAAAGTCACTGCGTAGTGAGATGGTTTCTGGACAAACACTGTCACAATGCAGGTCAGTGCTGCCACCATCCATCATCCTTCCACCATCCCTGATTCCCCATTGCAATGTGAAGCCGCATGCCAATCATGTGCAGCTATCGTCGATACACCATGCATCTTCCTTCCCCCACCATCACACCCTCCCCCCCCTCCCCCCTTCCCCTCTCACCCACTTCCATCATGCTCGTTGATATTGATTCGTTTGCCACTCATTCTTGCCCTTACTGTGTCATGGTCCTCCCATCAGTGCACGCCCCTTTATGTCGTTCTGTGCTTTTCATATTTGTAACCAATTTTAAAACGCTCGTTGCTCCCATAATGAGACCTCTCATCTCAAGGCTCTTTTTCTGCCATAGCCTGTGCAATCTGCTAGCCGTCATTCCAGCCATCGTTGCTTCTATTTTCAATATTTTCCCGTTTTCAAACCCTCTTGGTTTCAGAGTTGATTCAAGTTGAGGAGTCTAAGGGCTGGCCATGCAGGCCTGGTGGTATACCACATACCCTCAGATTCGACCCTCCCACTTCCAACACAAATGCACTGTTTATCGCACTGTTCACTAAGAGGCATCTGAAATGATGTGTTATAGTGCTGCGCACACTACTTCAAACATATCACGCATGCATCATTGTCCATATTATAGCACACTTGCATGGTACATCATCAGCTTTGTAACATGGTAACCATGTAACCGCCTGTCTAGTCCTCCATCCACCAGGGCTCCTCGCCAGTCCGGAAGTCAGTCTCAGTCCACGTGGAAAAGACGACCTTGCCACCCACCACGTTGGCATGCTCGAGGGCCAGAGACTGAGGGGAAGGAGGGAGGAAGCCGAGGGAAAGATGAGGAGGTGCAAGAGCAAAAAAAAAATGTGTCAGTCTGTAGAGGAAACAATACTGCTACCCAGCAACAATATGAAGAATCAGTGAAGGCAGCAACTTGCGCTGATAGGAAAGAGGAACAGCAAAGACTGACGTACCAGGGATGCCGGGCCCTGCACGACCATGCCCTGGTTGTTGTACTGAGAGCCATGGCAGGGGCACATGAACTTGTTCCGGTCCGCCACCCACGGCACCATGGGAGTGCAGACATAGCGTAGATAGCCAAGGAAGGCAGAAAACAGTGGGGGATGAGGAAGGGGCGGAATAGAAACTTACCAAGGGAGCCGGGCCCTGCACGACCATGCCCTGGTTGTTGTACTGGGAGCCATGGCAGGGGCACATGAACTTGTTCTCCTCCGCCACCCACGGCACCACACACCCCATGTGCGTGCAGATGGCGTTGATGGCGAAGTTGCCGAGCGTGCCATCGTCATTCACGACGATGTAAGCCGTCTCATCCTGTAGTGGAGGAAGAGGGAGAAAGAGAAGGAGAGGGAGAAGGAGAGAAAGCAGGTGGACAGAAAAATGCATGAGATGTTAGAGCAATACAGATGGCGTTGCGAAGTTGCTGAGCACGCCATTGCCGTTCACGGCGATGTAAGCTAGCTCGCCCTGAAGGTGGATTAGATTGGGGAACGAGAGAGAGGTAGGGAGAGAAAACGCATCACACATCATCACAGCATGTTAGAACAGGGGGGAAAGCAACAAAAATCATTGCTACTCGGAAATAGGCAATATTCAAGCGCCTTATACACGAGGTGCTTACATCGAGGCCCTGGACGAGCGTCCTGTCGCCAGCCTTGTGCGTGGCGAGCCAGCTGTCCGCCATCACCACCTTGCCGCTCAGATCCTTCGCCACTAGCTCGTCTGCCGAACTGCAAACACATGGATAAGCGTTACACGTGTTAGTAAGCAGCAAAAAAAAAAAAAAAGATGCAGGAGCTTTTTAAGTTCAACAGTTATAGATTTGAGCGTGGTGAAGAGCGTGGTACCTGGCAGGGGCGAAGGAGAGGAAACCAGCGGAAGACGCGGGCACAGCAGCGCCGAGAACGAGAGCTGCCTTGAGGACTTCCCGGCGGCTGACGTCATCAGAGGATGTGCTCTCGCTGCTGGCCTTCACAGACACTGCAGCGCGTTTGGCGGAGAAATTGGCGGTGCTGCTGCGTGACTTCGCGATACTGAGCTGTTTTCCCGTGAAGGTGCTGACCGAAGATGCCTGAGATTAGGAAGGGTGAGAACTTGTTGAGAGAAATTGTTGAGAACTTAGAATTTGAACATTAAAGTGAACTTTCTGGCTGAACATACCTGAATGGCGGATGAGAGAACGTAGACGGAGGCCATGGTCCCGTTAGGAGATCCACCAGACGCAGGAGCAGGATTAGACTGCTGTACGATTTGGAAGCCTGTTTGCTTAGTTCTGCTGGATGGTTGTTACTCAGATTTACCTGAAACTTTATACCTCCAAAATTGTTTCAGATGGACATCTCAAGGTGGTGAAGGAGGTGCAAATCCAAACCAGCACGAACCGCGATTGCACAAATTTCTGTAGCGCCCGCGGCGCGGATGTGTACGAAGAGCATCGTACAGCTTCAGGGGAATTGGATGGATGGGATGGGAGTGGCATAGCCACGTAGGACGAGGGCAAAGGTTGTTTGTGAACTCGTACGCAGCGTGAGTTGCGGCAAACGATTGTGTGGGGAGGCCGTACGCTCATCGCAATCGCAATGCCAACATCTTCCCCATAATGCACACTCGGGATATCTGTAGCAGAAGGCAGTTAAATTTACTAATCTATAACATACAAACTGGACTTTGCAAACAAAAATGGAATGGCGTTTTATCGTACACATATTTTTCCGATTAATACACCAGCTCAAGTTAAATTAAAAAAATGAGTCTATAATTTTCCTGTATAACATGTAGAATCTTTTTATGTATATTAAGGTCTTTAATGGCTCTTCACTGAGGCGTACATTATTTCAGATGTGAGCGAGTAAGGTTCGAGTGTATCATGAAGGGATGATACTGAATCTGGGTTAATCGAGTGCATGTGAGGCGTGTTTATCAGTTTGCAACCGAGCGAGCATTGAATCGAAGTCTGTTTCCGTCTCGTTCAGAATCTGTTTCAATATTGTCCACTTAAGGGTCGAATACCGCCATGGTAGCTGAAGTTCTAAACGCAATGTGTCACCCGTGTTTCTGAAAACTGCAGCTTATGATACACATAATCACGCCCTTTCATCCTTCTGGTCGGCTCACAGATCCATTTCCAAGGCTCTCGCGACCACTAAGGTGGGATTCAAAGCATCAAATCCCTTGGTTCAAAACAAGAGCCACGCGAGTGTGATTGGTCAGTTGGTGAGCTTGCCACGCGAGGAAGCTCCTGCCATAGGTGACTAGGACTAACAAGAGCCGCGAATCGTTAGGCGGCTCCGCTGTCCTTTAGGACTATTCGGGATAGTTTACCTAATCCTGTGCGACACGTGCCTGTCTGGCATCTTAAAATCACTCCCCATTGTAGGGCTTTTCTCGATTCGCAGAAATACTACGGTACTTAGTCCTGAGTACATGGTAGAATAATTGCGTGGAAGAAATAGTCAGCATTTGTCCGTACTCGTCCTGCATTGCGACGATCTCTCGTTTTCGTCCAATTTCGGTCTATTAGCTTTTCCCGCCATGGAGACGCCAGCCGTGTCGCGGCATCAGAAGCTCGTAACAGACGTTCTTTCGTGGGTGTTCAATGTCGTTACATCTGTCGGTATCATCGTGGTCAACAAGTACCTGATGGTACATTACAACTTCCAGTTCGGTGCGAACCCTAACCATGCACTCCTTATGGCTTCACAGGAGCGAGCAAGTCGCTTGTAACGCGTATATGCAGTTGCATTGCACTGATCCTTCCAGCTGCACGTTTTGAGAAGTCTCATAACGTGGTTCTAACACGCACGTGCGCGATTGTATTGTACCGATCCTTCGAGCTTCATGGTCTTCGTGACTACACAATGCTGTTGCTTCGCTACAGTGACTCGATCGAGCTTTCCACTTTTTGTCGAATTTCCATCTTCTTCTTCGTATAAACCAATCTCTGTCGGTCGCTCGCAATCTGCGCCAAAACTGTTTGTTATGTTCCCTGAATTTTCCTGTTGCACGCTTGTTCTGGGACTTTTCAAAACGCGTTCGCATTCTACCCTTGAAGCATGTCCTCAGCTTCCCTCAGTTTCCAATCTCATCTCCTGCTAACAGTTCGCCTGCTGCAGATCCCGACACTTGTTTCCGTCTCCATTTTCCTGTTCAGATCCCTAAAGTGGTGTGTCACTTGTGAATTTCGACTCACAAGAGCCTTTTAAAAACTCCCGGATTCTCGTTCTCCTTTCTTTCTTCTGCAGCCGCCACGCTCACCGGCCTCCACTTCATCATGACGTCGCTGATGACGTCAGCGTTGCGTCTGAGCGGGTACCTGGAACCTTCGCAGCTGCCGCTGATGGAGCAGGTGAAATTCGCGCTGACTGCCAACGTGTCCATCGTGGGGATGAACGTCAGCCTGATGTGGAACAGCGTCGGATTCTATCAGGTGCGTGTGCTTGTAGTGGGTGTGCTTCTATTGGGTATGATCTTGATGAGGTCTCAGTGCGACGGCCGCTGGAGCAGGTTAAGTTCTCGCTGACTGCCAACGTGTCCATCGTGGGGATGAACGTCAGCCTGATGTGTAACAACGTCGGATTGTATCAGGTGTGTGTGCTTGTATCGGGCGTGTGTGTGCCTGTATCGGGTGTCTGTGCTTGTATGGAGTGTGTTTCTGACAGAGGCTCATTGCGGTAACTGTCACTGTGCCAGTTTCGGAAATGAATGTCTGTTTGATGTGTGTGATGGTATTGAGTATGCTATCGAGTACGATTCTGACGCACAGTAAGATTACTGCCAGCCACCGTAATGATCGTGGCGTGGGAATAAACATCAGCCTCATGTGAAACAATGTTGGATTCTACCCGGTCCTGCCTTTGCCCCCATGCAGATCGCCAAGCTGGGCATGATTCCCGTCTCCTGTATCCTCGAGGTCTTCTTTGATCGCATGCGCTACTCCCAGGGCTCGTGCTTCCCCATGCTCCCATCTGTTCCCAACCCTCTCGCCCTTCACTGCTCCGCTCTTTTGCTCGCTTTCCCCCCTTTCTCTTTTGCCCAGATTGCCAAGCTGGGCATGATTCCCGTCTCCTGCGTGCTCGAGGTCTTCTTTGACCGCATGCGATACTCCCAGGGCTCACGCCTCTCCGTGCTGCTGGTGCTGATAGGCGTGGCTACGTGCACGATTGCTGACAGCAGTCTCAGCGTGAAGGGCATGGTCGCAGCGGCCGTTGCTGTCTGCTCCACCGCCCTGCAGCAATACGTGAGTGCTCTGGTGGCAGCTGTTGTGGCTTAGAAAACTCGCGCCTCTCCGTGCTTCTGGTGCTGATAGGGGTGGCCACGTGCACGATTGCTGACAGCAGTCTCAGCGTCAAGGGCATGGTGGCAGCTGCCGTTGCTGTCTGCTCTACTGCTGTGCAGCAATACGTGAGTGCTCCAGTCTAGTTCAGTTTGGAAAACGCCTTGGTCAGTTCAGCTGTGGCGGTTCTCAAGGGTCGTGCCTTTTCGTGGTAGACTCGCTGTGAGGTCTGGTCGAGGCGTATTTTCTGCCTGCACTCATTCCACCTGTTCCCACACACAGCTCTTTCGTCTCGCACCTCTCCCACTCACTCTCACCAGCCTATCCCCAACCTTTCCCATTCGCCTCACCTCTCCTCCCTTCCCCACCCCATCTCACTCCATCCCAGTCCACCCCCCTCCACTCCCTTGAGTACCTGCTCTCCCACACAACTTCGCACCTTCCCTTCTCCTTCTGCATTTCTATTCATCTCCCCCCATATGCGCCTTCCCACCCCTTCCTACCCCTCCCCACCCCTGTCCACCACAGTACGTGCAATACCTGCAGAAGAAGTACCGACTGGGCTCGTTCGACCTGCTCTCCCACACAGCACCCGTGCAAGCGGGCTCGCTCGTGCTGCTGGGGCCGTTCATAGACTGGCTGTTGTCCGGTGCCCGGGTGGACAGCTACGACTTCAGTGTGCCCTCTGTGGTGAGTACCCATCGTGGTGGGTTCATGGTGAGTACTTCCATTCCCATTCCATTCCCAACTCCCCCAATTTCCTCTTCTACCGCTAACCACCAGCCTCCCTGCCCCCACCAGCAGTGCATCGGCCTCTCATGTCTGATAGCCGTGGCAGTCAATGCGAGTCAGTTCAATTGCATCAACACTCTTTATGAATTCATAGATAGCTTTGGAAGGTTGGCCCCTTCTTTCCCCCACTGCCCACCCCTTTCGCCCACACCAGCTGTGCATCGGCCTTTCATGCCTGGTAGGTAGCTGTGGCTGTCAACGCCAGTCAGTTCATCTTCCCTCCGCCACTCTTACTCCCATCCTCACTTCACCCATCCCTTTTCCCCTTCCTTCATCAGCTGTGCATCGGGCTGTCATGCCTGATAGCCGTGGCGGTCAACGCGAGTCAGTTCATCTGCATCGGTCGCTTCACAGCCCTCACCTTCCAGGGCCTGGGCCACATGAAGACTCTCTCTGTGCTCGTGCTTGGATACGCCATTTTTGGATTGGACGGTCTCAATGCATCGGTAAGTGGCTTTATGGTGCATGCTAGCTGTGACAGCGAGGAAGAGCAGGTGAGGGAAGCTTGAGGCTCTTTACAGAGTCTCTGCCCGCCACATGAAAACGCTCTCTGTGCTTCTGCTTGGGAATGCTCTCTTGGGTTGGACAGACTCAGCTTTTCAGTAGAAAATGCACAATATAGCATGCCTGCCATGCCTTACGATGCCATGCCGTGTCGTGCCTTGCCATGCCATTTCATGCCGTGCCTTGCTTTGCCATACCATTTCATGCCATGCCACGCCATGTCATGCTATGCCATGCAGCGCCATGCCACATGCCCTCCCTTGCCATGCGACACTATGCCATACCACCAAGGCTATGCCATACCACCAAGGCTATGCCATACCACCAAGGCTATGCCATACCATCAAGGCTATGCCATACCACCAAGGCTATGCCATACCATGCCATACCACCAAGGCTATGCCATACCACCAAGGCTATGCCATGGCATATCATATCATAGTCATGCCATGCCGTACCAATGGCATCACATTAACCCCCCACTCTCCTCTCCCATGTTTTGACCCAACTCCCAACGCCTCCTGAAAATACACACCCACATCTACCTTTTACCCTGTAGGTCCTGATGGGGATGCTACTTTCCATAATGGGAATGGTGTGGTACGGTAATGCTTCGTCAAGACCAGGAGGCAAAGAGAAGGTGCCAGTGGCTCCTACTCTCCCAACCACCACGGACACGGAGGAAAGCGCACCTTTAAAAAGTGAACCGCGGGAAGCTCCTGTTGTGCCAGCGCTTGAAAAGCAGGCTAGTGACAGCGGATAAACGGAAACTGCTTAATGACTTGTATTTTACTCTGAAGGTGCTATTTCCTGGCGCCAAAATTGAGTATTGCATATATAAGTACAGGATGTCACGTTTATGTGGATGTGATTGTTTAGCTTAGGTTTACTCTTGGCAGTACTTGTAAGGAGTATATTGCAACTTCGTGTTCTACACTCTGAATATGTCAACACTTTCCTCTCAGACCCGTGTATTGCTTGCATTATGACATCGCAGTACTGAATTAAGACACTTTGTGTGTCATCTTCCTGTCAGCTTGGTAACACTGAGCGTGACAAAATGCACTCAATAGACAATAGTGTATTGGAACTAGTCCGAAACCAATCCGTTCCGTGTCGGTATGCCGTCCTTGTAAACAGGTAGTAAAGCACACCCTCAGGTTCCTTTTCGCCTCATCCTTTCTCATTCACTGCTCTAGGCTGAGAGACCAGGCCATGTCTGGCAAGACCTTGATGGTGACAGGCAAATTCATGGAGATTCGGGCCATCAGATAAGGTGCGACGACAAGGGATATAGACAGTTGTCACCCTCCACTCACTCACCACAGGCACGAGGTGAGAATAAAGGCCTGGTTTAGAAAGGCCCGAGGTGACATTCGAGTCTAACTTACTAGTAATCCAAATTCCCCTGACGGAACCGAGTGAGATCAGTAGTGCGCTGTCCTGAGCTGAAGACTCCACCTCTGATAGTGCTTGAATCTTACGATCAACCCATTTACCCTCACCCTCGTCAGCCCATGCATAAGTCCGCCACAGCTGTCAGGAACGCTCTTTCACTGTTGTAATCAGCATCACAACCATTCTGTCCCGGCCATCATACTTCCGTCGGCATTAAAACCGGTTCGCCGTATCTTCACATCACACAACCGTCGGCCATGTCGCTCGATGATGTATCCGATGGTCCTCTGGAGCACACTCTCCTCGTCGTTCGTGAAGTCTCCGTGTACAAAATACCTCCGCGACAGTCGTCAGGTGGTTACAAATGCGCAGAGTGGCTCGTTGGCGACAAGATTTGGGGGGGACGCCTCCGCGTTGTTTCCGTCGGCGAAACGTGCGAAATCCGCCTGGAAGACAGTAACACCGGCGAGCTGTTCGCCGCGTGCCACGTGGCGCCTGGTCGACGCGACGCGTCGGTCGAAGCGGCGACGGACAGCTCGCGATACTTCGTGCTTAAGATCGACGACGGTCGCGGTCGCCACGCGTTCATCGGGCTCGGATTCGCGGAGAGAAACGCTGCTTTCGACTTCAATGTCGCGCTAACCGATCATGAGAAGCATGTTCTGAACGAAAGGCAAAGAGCTTCGGATGTGGCGTCAGGGGAAGCAGATTCTGCGCAAGAAGATTCTCAGCCGAAATTGGACCTGAAATTGAAGGTAATTCGCTAAACTACACTGCGTACCAATGCCTTCATCGCAAGAGTCTTGCTAGTCCTGAAGCAAGATACTGGTGGCAATTCGCTGTACGAGCTTTCCACGTTTCTAAGTTTCCGTTCTTACGCATTCTTATGATATTCCCCTTTCGACGTACAGGAAGGCGAAACCATCCGCATCAGCATGAAAAAGCCATCCTCCTCCGCCTCCTCCTCCTCATCATCTTCCTCCTCCCGCCCTTCCTCCTCATCTTCGTCAGGCCGGGTAGCCGTTCTAGCTCCCCCTCCCGGCGACAGCAGCAGAAGCAGAAGCAGCAGCAGCAGCAGCGGTGGCATCGCGCGCCTTGCTCCTCCTGCTGGCTCCTCGTCTCGCTCTTCAGTCTCTGGGCCCCCTCCAGCAGCAGCAGGATCAGCAGCACCAGCAGGCGACGCAGCAGCAAGAGGAGGGGGAAATCTGGCTGCATCAGGGGAGGGAGCTCAGGCAGGAGCTTTCGCGGATTTCTCACAGCTCCAGGTACATGGCTGTAATCATTCAAAATCTCCAATTCCAAAAGCACGCTTTATCTTTCTTTACTTAAAAAGCCAGGCCAAAATCAGTATGCGCTCTTCGTTGTGCACTTTTTTTTCTTCTTCTTCTTAATATTATCGTTGTATTTCCTGTTGCTTTTCCCCTCGTGAAGCCAGTGTGGTACTTTGACCAACTGACTGTGCACCTGTCATGCTTGCTTGGGTGCCCTATCCTGTCCTGTTCTGTTCTCTTTCTTGCAGTCGTCCCTCCCATCAGCAACCCAGCCTGCTCCATCCAATCCACCCTCAAGCGCCAACGCCCCTGCAGCAGCAGGATGGGCCACCTTCTGACCTGGACAAGGATTAGAACTCAAAAACATACCGAAGACCTGGGCCACCCGCTTCACACGGCCCAGCCAGCCAAAAGGCGTGTATCTATGGACCACACATCACTAGGCGTGTATTCAAAAGGCGTGTATCTATCAGCCACCCTTTTCACTAGAGTCATTTGTTGTTGTGGACAACAGAACTGAACCGCCTCTTCAATATTGGACTGGCACCATTTGGGTCGACAAGTAGGGACTCGGCAGAGGGTGCTTAGGATTGCCAGCGTGCAAACCAGGTCTCTCATTCATCTGTTGTCATACCTATGTTTTTGACAAAAAAATATCACACCACATGTACAGATATGATGTATGCAAACCCAGTCCAGTCCCTTGTCAGTGGCACAAAATCACGTCCTTTCAGATCAGATGTGATAGTCTGTGTCGGGATGTGATGGGATCACATAAATACAATCACATGTCCTTCCCTTTATGCTAGCCCAATCTGGTCCCTCACTTGTCTATGGCACATCACATGTCCTTCCAGATGCGATAGTCCGTGTCGGGATGGGCGGGGTCCCACTCTGTATCCGCACACGCAGACAAAATGAGCGTACGGCCTTGCTTGTCCACATTCTCCAGCGCGTGTGCCCTGCCAGCTGGACCTGTGAAGACTGCCACGTCAGCAGCATCCAGCATCACCTCTGCATACCCGGCGGGCAACGATGGATTCTCGATCTGCAGTGGTAGGGCGAAATAGCGGGAGGTAGAGGAGGGGGTGGAGGAGGGAAGAGGAGGGGGGAGAGGAGGGAGAGGGGGGTTGAGAGGAGGTTGGAGAGGAAGGGAGGGAGGAGGAAAGAGGAGGTAGAGAAATGACCTACTTGTGGTGGTGTGGCACACAGCATCATCTCTGCATACCCGGCCAGCAGGAGAAATAATACTTACAGAATAAAAACACAATAATCTGTTCTTTTGATGGTTCCGCACCTGGATTCGAGCATCTTTTCTTGGGGCGCCTGGAAAAAACTCCAGCACATGATACATTGTACGCACCCGGATGCGAGCGTCTGCACCCCAGATGAGAAAGGACTCGCTCTTGGTGTGGTGGCGGTGGTTTCCCCGCACCTTCCCCGGGCCTATCGTGCCCACATGCACATCCACACATGACTTTGCACCTGATGGCATGGGATGGGATGGGGTGGGATGAAGTGGGATGCGGTGGAATGGGACGGGATGATATAGGAATAGGCGGGATGGCATAGAGTGGCATGGGGGTAAGGGTGAGTGCCCAAATGCACGTCACCACATGGCATGATCATCGTTGGCATGGGATGGGATGGGATGTGGTGGGTGGGTCGGGATGGGATGAGTTGGGATGGGATGGGATGGGATAGGATGGATTGATGGCGTTCTCATATTATATATAGGGAAAAGAAAGTCCCCCCTCTGCTTTCCCCACTCCTCACCATTCTACCCACACCCTTCCCCCCCTTCCCCGTCTTCCCTTCGCCCCCAACAAACCCAACAGCCCATGCGCCGCGGCCATGTGCATGGGGGAGAGAATCCATCCGCGCACGTCACCCCCCCGACCTCCTTTAGCCTTCTCCCCCCCCTCCTCCCTTCCCCCCACCTCCTCCCCTTCCCCCCCCACCCCCCCCCCGCCCTCTTCCCCCTATCTCCCCACGCCCCTCACCTACCCCCCAGCCCATGCGCCGCGGCCATGTGCATGGGGGAGAGAATCCATCCGCGCAAGTCGCTCCCCGGCATGCCCCCCGCCAGCCTATTCAGCCGCACCAGATTCGCCTCCTCCTTCTCCTTCCGCATTTCCTCCTCCCGCGCCTCCCCCATTCCGCCTCCCCCCGTTCCGACCGCGCCCGCGTCTCCCCCGCCCGGCTGCTGAATCAAATCGGACGGCTCGCGGCTCGTGGCGTTTGTGGTGGTGTAGACTAGGCATAAGGTGAGGATTAATAGGACGCAGAGCGCTTGCGCCGCGACGCGGCCATTGTTTCCGAAAAATGCGGAAGATAGAGAGCTTGGCGCGGCGGAAAAAGCTCCGCGCGGGTGATGCGAGGCGGACGGCATACCGCGATGTGTGCAGCGAAATGTAGCTTTCGCAAAATGCGGGCGGAAAGCAGCCGAAATCTAAGACTAATGTGGCGAAAGGTCACTCTGACTAGCAAGGCACTGATGGCAGTTGAGTAAGACGACACGGCCGTGGCGAGAATGGAGCAATGCTCTCCACAGTAGTTTCGCAAACGCAGCTCGTAGAACTCTCGGCGGGTTTCGCGGAAACAAACGACAGGTTGGAACGGAATGAGAACAGGAAAGAAATTGCCCCCCGCAATACATGTGAGAGTTTACTTTAGTACAATCAAGTACGGTGAGGAACGGTATCGATGCCAACAACCAGCAAGAGCGACGGGCGCAATTGGGTAGGGGAATGGCGAAAAAGCTGCGAGCTTGGTGTCCAGCATCTGTTACCAAACTGTTGACATTGAAACCATAAACTTGCGGCATAAAGCAAATCAGATTAGTCTTTGTTTGCCTGCTGTGAAAAACGGAATGAAAGCGAAATAAATTGGAGATGGGATAGCAAAAATTCATTATACATAACACATACCACCCTTGTTCCTTAGGAAACGTGATCTTCAACTCAGCCAGTTTGTAAGCCTCTTTTATGTCCGCTTCTGAAAGAATGACATGATGCTTCCCTGCCCCTTCTTAGGACCCCCTTTTCCAGCAGCCTTCCCACCACCCTTAGCCGCCCCTTTCCCTGACCCTGCAGCCGCTGCCCCCTTCCCATGTCCCCCTCCCTTCTCTCCTCCCTTCCCCTGTCCTCCTGCCTTCTCTGCTCCCTTTCCCTGTCCCTTTCCTCCTTTCATGCTTGCAGCAGAGGCCTTGGCTGAGTGCCTGCTATGGGTAAGGAATGAATTGACACAAGAGCCCCATCAAAAGACAAAAATTGCCACTTCTGCAGAGGGATTTGCCTTGAATAACACTTCAGGAATCCAGCCAAAGACACATACACACGCGATGGATATGATATGATGCTATGATATGATATGATATGATATGATATGATATGATATGATATGATATGATATGATATGATATGATATGATATGATATGATATGATATGATATGATATGATATGATATGATATGATATGATATGATATGATATGATATGATATGATGTGATGTGATGTGATGTGATATGATATGATATGACATGACACAAGAGGTAAACAAATCAGATTTTGAGTAGAGCTACGGCGGACAGGCGGACATATATGGAGACAGAGGGGCTAAGTGAGAGGCAGGAGGAAGAAGGGTGGGGAGGAAGAGGAAGCGGCAACTGAGGGCCGTAAATAGGAAGACCATGGGGAGGTGCCTCGGACAAGGAAGGGAGCCAAGTTGGACGGTTCTAAACCTGGCCTAACCTTGTGCTCTGCTTCCACACATCAAACACCTCTGGTGGTTAAGAAAAGAAAAGAAGAAGAAGAAAAAAACAAACAAACAATAAAACAAACAAACAAACCAAACAAAACACCACCAAATGGAAGGATCAGGTGATACCTTGTGCTCTGCTTCTGCACATCGGGCTCCACTGGTGTGCTGCAAGGCTCGCCTCCCCCCATCGCTCCATCCCGATCAATGTCCCCTTCCCCTGCATTAACAGCCTCTGCTGCCACCTCATTCCCGAACTCATCCACCCCCACCTGCCTTGTGACTGCAGGGAGTGCGATAGAAACGAGGTGTACAGAGAGTGCTCGGTTGCTGATTTCATTTCAGGTGCTTCAAAACACCCTCGTCCACTTCCAACGATGTGACAGAAACGAGAGGTAGAAAAGACTAACTTTGCCGCATGACTGCAGCAAATGTGATAGAAACATGAGGTATACGGGGCTGATGAGTTGCAAACAAGGAGAAAACGAGAACACACACGGGCACACAGTTCCCAGTTTGTATAAGAACAAGCAACCCCTCACCTTCCCGTCCTCTGTCGTCAATATCAGTCTTCCACACCATCCGTCTCTCCCCACCACCCCTCCTCTTCATCCCACCAACTGCTTTTGGCGTAAGTCTGACTGCACACTCCACCTCTGCCATTTCCTCCTCCTCTTTCACCCCTTTCACCTCGTTCCCTTCTTTCTCCTTGTTCTCCCTTTCCTCCTCTTTCTCCCTTTTCTCCTCTTTCGCCTCTGCATGTCCCTTCCGCCCTTTCTTCATCAGCCGAATCGATTCCGAACCAAACGCCCCTCCCTCTGCTGCTTCGTGCTCACGTTTCACCACCACCAATTTCTCTCCCTTCCCTTCCCCAGAAGTCATCCCCCCTTTAAGCTTATCCTCTTTCCCTCCACCAACCTCACTTACAACAAACTCTTTTTCTTCTACCCGCCCTCCTCCTCCTTCCGCTTTCTCGTCTCTACCTTCCAACTCCCCTCCGCCCCTCTCCTCATCTCCTATCCTCCCCTTCGTCATCAGCTTGATATCCTCAGCACCAAAGGCTGCGTCATCTTTAGCTCCCTGCTCGATCTTCACCTTCTTCCCACTCTCCCCCTTCCCCTCCTCCTTGTACCCGCTATTGAGCCCATCCCTGCGCGACTCAATAGAAGCATCCTCCTCCTTTCCTCTCTTCCGCCCTCCTCCTTTCAGTTCCTTGTCACTACGCCCTTTGTTTTGCTCAATCATCTCGCTCCCTCCCTCATAATCTTGCTCTGCACCCCGTTTCCCTCGCTGCTCCTCATCCTGTTGGCTTGTTGGCGCCTCCTCTTTCACACGTGCCTCTCCCTCCCTTCCCTCATCTCCATCCCCTCCCTCTGTTCCCTCCTCTCCCGCTCCCTCCTTCCCCTCCCTCGCAGCATCAGCACCACCCTCTCGAAAACAGCTTCCATCCACCCCAGCAGCCCCCACATTCGTCCTATGCGACTTTACATCCTTCTCAACGTTCTCTGCATTCACCTGTCCTTTGCCTATCAGCCCAATACCCATTGCCTCTGCCTCCTCCTTTTCCATTCCCGCTTCTTTTTCCTCCTTCCCCATCTGCTCTCCCTCTGCCTCCTCCTCGTCCTCCTCATCCTCCACTGCGAATCGCCGTTTCTTCTTAGCTCCCTGCCTTCCCAACCGCCCACCTGCCCCTCTCGAAAACCCCACTCCCTCCTCCTCCTCCTCCTCATCCTCACCACCTCCACCACTGCCACCGCGACCACCACCATCGCCATTAGCAACCCCACCAGCACCAAGGATAGCACTACCATTAACATCAGCTGCTTTGGCTTCTCTAGCCTTTTCAGATCCTTCTCCCTTCACCTCGCACTGGGGTTTTGATTTCTTCCACATGCCCATGAGGGTGTTTTTCTTTTCCTTGTCAGCAGCACCAACCCCACCAGAAGCACTGCCGGCACTGGCCTTTTTTGCCCCTCTATCCTCTCTCTTACTAGTACCAGCAGCACCAGCAGTAGCAGCAGCAGGCACAACCGGCCCCTCCCCAATGTCCTTTTCTCCCTTCGCATCCACATTTCCAGACTCCTCTCGCCCCAGAACCCCTTGCTGGCCTGGCTTCACAGCCCCCACCGGCTCTGCCTGCTTTGGTTGCCCCCCTTGCTGCACCGGCTCCTGCTTGATTTCCGTTTCTCCTTTTGAATGCCCAACGCTCTGACTATGCTGGCCTTTCGTAGTGGCACCACCAGCAGCGGCAGCAGCAGGAGGAGCAGCAGCAGCAGTGGGAGAACGGGAGGGTATGGGGGAAGCAGAAGTGATATGCGCGGATGGGTGGGGCCGTTTCGAAAGGGTTTCCAGGCAGATGGGTGGAGGCTGGACGGCACTTAGGCTGCAGAGGGGAGAGGGGGAGAACACAAGGCGGTGGGGGACAGGGGGGGGTGGCAGCAATGTGAGTGGATGGGTGGAACCATCTACAGAGGTTTTCCAGGCAGATGGGTGGGGGCTGGACGGCACTTAGGCTGCAGCGGGGAGAGGGGGAGAACACACGGTGGGGGGACAGGGGGAGGCGGCACCGATTTGTGCGGCCGGGTGGGACCGTCTACAAACTGAGGGACATGGGTGGGGGCTGGACGGCACTGAGGCTGCAGAGCAGAAGAACGGCATTATGGCATGGGTGGATGGAACCAGACACCCTCACACACCGGTTTTGACTTGCACTGATGCCCGTGGCATCAGTAGCACAGAGAAGAGCCGGGTTACACTGTGCTCACTCACTCAGCACAGTTCGTACTGTGATGCTTTAATCGGTTTCTCACCTGCTCTCTCTTGCGCCGCTCCCCATAGACCCATCAGCAGCACAGAGGACAGCCAGGTCTCGCGGTAACCGCCTTTGCACACTGTAGATGTGGGCCGAGGCTCCTCCCATTGCCTCCTGTGCTTCTGAACAAATTTCACGGGCAGGTGGAGCAGAGGAAAGGGTGCCGGCATCAGAGCGTGTCCTTGCACCATCTCCTATACCTGCTTTGTCACATGGAACATGGAACATGGAACACAATTTGAATGAAAAAAAAGAATGTGTTTCTTCTGCCATACGAAACAGCATCGGGACAAGAGGACAGCAATAACCCATGAGGCATGCAGACGGACGTGGAAATCACCTTTGAGATGTCCTTGTAACGAGCTCTTTCTGAGATAACTGCTTGAATTTAGAAATCTCAAGTCAGCAACAAAGGGACAGGGATTACCGGCGAGGTGAGCCGAGGGCACTAGCCGCATGCGGAATTCCTTCACCATCGGCTGCTCTCCAGCTGTCGTTGCTGCTGTAGCTGATTCTGTTCCTGCGCATCTCACTGTCGCTCCTTCTGCAGCTGATGATTCTGGCTTTGCTGCCGCTGCTGCTTTCCCCCCATCCCCATTACAAACCCAGCCCGACACCACCCATACAGCAGACACATCTTCCTTGTGTTGCTCCCAGTAACCCTGTAACACACTGCATGGGCGAAGGAGACCAGCACAGGTTGGCCAGCAATGGTAACCAGCAAAGGTAACCAACAATGGTAACAAGCAGGGAGGTGGGGGATGAGTACAGGAAGGAAGCTGGCGGAGGGGAGTAAGACCGAGAAGGTGGCGGAAAAAGGGTGTGGAGGCGGGGAGAATGGCGGAAAGGAGGTGGCGGAGGGGAGGGTGATGGGAGGGAGTTATGGAAAGAGGGAGGACAGCGGTAGGGGAGAAACAGGCAGCAAGGAGCTTGGCCGCACCTTTTTGCCTGGCGCAGAGGCAGGGAGAGGGAGCGTGAGAGGAATTTTGCGGTGACCTGGGAGGAAAGGGGAGATGGATAGATGGAAGGCGTAACTTGGAGAAATGAAACGCTCGGATTCCGAAGGCACGGAACGCGCGAACGAACGTATTGTCGTACGCATGTACGTACGCCTCCGGTTCCTTGCCAAAAAAAAGTGCGAATGGAAGGCTTGGGGGGATTTCAAGCTGCAGCTCAGTCAGGTACAGAACAAAATTCCTAACACCGGGTACACTAAAAAACTATAAAAATGTGAGACGCGTCAGAATAGGCCGGGCAACAGATTGAATCGCGGACCAGTCCTGCTAACTCAATAAGCCGGGGCAATAAACAAATTTTGTGCTTGCGCGAGCTCAAGATTACTGTACTTGGAAGACCACTTTAATCACCTCCCTCTCCTCCTCGGCTGCAGCCATCTGAAAGTAACTCCAATCCAGCCGTTGAACTCACCACTCGCTCCTGATCCTTCACGATCGCATCGATGTCATCCAAAACGCCTGGATCCATCGCAGCGAGCTCAGCGGGGGCGGCCATTCGATATTTCGATACACCGTACTAACACGGCCAAGCACGCAGAGCAAGGAGGAACGCAAACTTTCCTAACATGAAGCGGAAGCGGCCAGGCTGAAATACCCGTAGCTTTTCCGTCTAGGGCCTGACACAGCGCGGCGGGAAAAGAATTCAAAAGCACAAACCAGAAGTCGTCCTCCTCCGATACTAGATCTGCGTAGCTTTTGACTATTTCTTTGGTTGTGGTGGTAATAATTTGTAGCTTGGGTTGATTTGATGATCCGATATGTAAGCCCAGTGTAGCAACTTGCTGGAAATCCAAACAGATAATTTATAATATAAAAGGATGTAGAAACTGAATCTGTAGGACTTGGGTGCACATTCAGGAAGGGCTATCAACTGTATAAGAGATACCAAGACACATTAGAAGAGGAATAAAATTATGCAGTAGTAGTAAGGTTGTATGTTAGGTATAAGTTTCCAAACATATACAGAGGCGTGCCACATACAACTTGGGTTGACTGACAATAGCGAGCCAGATACATTCACACAGTTCAGATGCATTTACAGGCAGAAGGATAGCTTTCCTGCCCACGAAGCTAACTTGCGGACGGCCTAGATCAGTCGATCGGCAAACTCTGAGTGTAACGTAACATGCGACTTGGCGTCAGGAGAAGAAGGCCCTGGCACGAGACCTGGTTCAGGTTAGTCCCTTGCATAGCTGTACACTACTGGCAGGCAGGGAAGCTAACACCCGCCATTGGTTCAGAAGCAATTTGTACTGTATGCCTTTCTGAGGGGTGTGGTGTGGTGACGGAGAGGAGGGAGGAGGCTTGCCAGACGGGCTGAATATTCTGCCGACTACAGTATGTACGTATACGATGCCTCACAACTAATTTCGATTCACACGCACGCAGAGTTTTGCCGTAGGGATTTTCGACGGAGGACAAAATCACAGTTCCATGTCAATGGACCACAATAGGCAGAATCAAAGCGCCATTGTGATACAGAGTCGCATGGCGTCGTTTACAGTACTACTATTCAACGCAAAACCAGAGAAAACGACCCTGAGCACATAAAAGCCCGAGAAGACACCACCTGATGTTTGCCTTGGCTGCCGTCTCCCACTCAGAACCTCGAAAACGCTCTCAGTTCACCACTGCACTCTTAGGTGTAGTGTAGTGAGTCTGGTGCAACATATATCCTATCCTCTTCAGATCGGTAATCTCAAACAACTTTTTACCAACCTCACCTTAGAGCCTATCACAATGGCGATGATGCGCGGAGAAGTGACTCGTCTCTCCAGAGCCGGCAAAACCTCCGCGACGCGGCTACTGGTTCTAACATCGCTCCTATTAGCACTCAGCCTTTCCCGAGCTGCGAACCCGTACCCATCAAGCCAGGAGAGGAAACAGATGTGCGAAAAAGGCCTGTCACAGGACAGCTGTGGGGACTACTCGCCCTCCAGCGAGTTCCCAGGAATCGCGGGAGGCTTCGTTCGCTACGCTCCGGTGGGTGTGGTTTTGGCGGAAATTGAGGGTATCGAGGGCGGTCCGGCGAAGTGCGCCTCCAAGTGCTCGCCAGCCAACGGATGCACCTTCTGGCATTACGTTCCGCCTATTGCGGCAGACGAACGAGAGCGCGCTTTGTGAGTGCTGGGAGTTACAGGTCGAGGAACCCCTTGTCCGTGACCAGTAGTACTAACGGAGAACTACTACTGTCACGTTCGTTAAGGTTCTCCTGAATCACGTTACCGTCCTTCCCTTTTGTTCCTTTGTTTGCAGTCCTCCTACGTGTAACCTATACGGCGGCAAGGCGGATTGTTCTAATTACTTTTACATGATGGAAACCGCTACTTGGAAAAGCCAGCAGCGTGTCGGGCCAGGCTGTGCCAAACCTAACGCTGCTAACGATCCGCATCTTGTCGGCGCCCACGGCACACGCTACGACTTCAACGGCCGTCCGGACCGCGCGTTCTGCCTGCTAACTGACCGTGACGTGCACGTGAATATGATGCTGCGAGGATACTATAGCGAGGACACGAGGAACGCCACTCTCGTTGTGGATGGGAAGGCCGTTCACACGTGGATCAAGTGAGTCTCGCTGTCTCGTACTACTGCTATACTCATTTTTGCACTCATCCTAGATGTCAGTGGTGCCCTGCCTTGGTCTTAGCTCCGCTGCTATTCTCATCAACCCTATTTCTCTGCGGTCCCCCCTCCCCCCCTCCGCCCTTGACGAACAGGGAGCTTGGGATCGTGTGGTTCGCGAATGGTGCGACTCACACTGCGCGCCTGGTTGCACGAAACGGCAAGCAGCAGCGCCGAGGCGACGGATTCATGAAGGCGATCGAAATCGACGGCCAGATTCAGCCGCGCATGAAATTGGGCGACACAATTGTTCCATCCAACGGCACTCGTCTCACGATAACATTCAAGGCAGAAGAGAAAGAAGGGCCGTACGACGTGGACTACTACACTCTTGAAATTGACGGGTTGTTGTCGCTTGACGTGAAGCTGCGTATAGCGCAACCGAACCTCCAAACCCCAACCGACGCGGAAGCCCACATCAATGTAGGGGTTTCGGAATTTGCGCGCACGGATGCGATTCACGGCGTGTTGGGGCAGACTTTCCGGGCGGACCATGCGCAGAGGGCAGCGGACTTCCAGAAGTTGGTGGCTTCTCTGCACCGCCGCGTCTCCGCTGATGCCGAAGAGGGGAAGGGCTTCCTGGACGGAACGCCCCGCTCCTATGAGACTAGCGGTGTACTCGCTACGGACTGCGCATTTGCTACATATAGCCACGCCTAAAACTTGGGCTGGTCAATAAGGAGCGAGGTCTACAGCTTTTTTTGTTTTGTATTGTATTGGTATGGTTGATGGATGTGCATTGTTAGCTAAATAGGTGATTTGCAAGAAGTGAATCTGTGTTAACGTACTCATTTTGTGAAGTTTGATTGGAGGCATTGATCTCATGCAATAACATCACATTGACAGATGCATACACCAGTACAGTCTCACCAGTGCTACAATGTACAACTACCTATAGTATGCCATGTGCCTGCCAGGGATCCACTCTTTTTGGCAAATCCCCACTTCTCTTCGTCTCTTCTGCATCTTTCTCCCTATTCGCTTTATCCTCTCTCAACCACGGTTCTACCATTTCCAACAATGATGGCACTTGCAATGCAGCTGGCTTGGGTAAAACAGCAGTTTGGTGCGTTGATAAGCGTAGCGGAGGGCACTATTCTGTGAAGAATGAGAGAAGTGTGTGAACTAGGAACATCGGGAGTACAAGTAGGAAACCCTAGAGTATTGTACCCCCTAAAGGCTAACCCACTGTAGCCTACACAGCAGGTCCTTCAGCGCTTCGACTTCACGTACTCCTCGCCTCAGGCCACTCCTCTGTCTACTCGCCACTCGCTCTCAGCTCTGCCTTCGGATGAGTCCGTAGAGCCGAGTGGCCCGTACCCAGAGCTTGTTGGCTGCCTCATGTACCTGATGACCTGCACTCGACCTGACCTGGCCTACCCTCTTAGCATTTTGGCACGCTATGTTGCTCCTGGGAGACACCGACCAGAGCACATGGCTGCAGCGAAGAGGGTGTTGCGCTACTTGTGCAGTACATCGGGCATGGGGCTTGTGCTTGGAGGGAAGAGTCCAGTGGTCCTCACTGGTCACGCAGACGCGTCTTGGGTCGACGACCTGGCTACGCAGCGGTCGTCACAAGGTTACACCTTCAGCCTTGGTTCCGGCTCTGTTTCGTGGCGGTCTACCCGCTCGTCTTCTGTTCTCAGCTCCAGCTGTGAGGCTGAGATCTACGCAGGGGCCATGGCTGCACAGGAGTTACGCTGGCTCACCTACCTGCTGACTGACCTGGGAGAGCCGCCTCGTTCTCCTCCAGTTCTGTACGTAGACAACAAGGCCATGCTGGCCTTGTGTCGGGAGCACAGACTGGAGCACAGAACAAAGCACAGAAGGAAGTAGCGAATAGCAATGTAGTCTGTGCTCCAGTCTGTGCTCCAGTCTGTGCTCCCGACACAAGGCCAGCATGGCCTTGTTGTCTACGTACAGAACTGGAGGAGAACGAGGCGGCTCTCCCAGGTCAGTCAGCAAGTAGGTGAGCCAGCGTAACTCCTGTGCAGCCATGGCCCCTGCGTAGATCTCAGCCTCACAGCTGGAGCTGAGAACAGAAGACGAGCGGGTAGACCGCCACGAAACAGAGCCGGAACCAAGGCTGAAAGTGTAACCCTGTGACGACCGCTGCGTAGCCAGGTCGTCGACCCAAGACGCGTCTGCGTGACCAGTGAGGACCACTGGACTCTTCCCTCCAAGCACAAGCCCAATGCCCGACGTACTGCACAAGTAGCGCAACACCCTCTTCGCTGCAGCCATGTGCTCTGGTCGGTGTCTCCCAGGAGCAACATAGCGTGCCAGAATGCTAAGAGGGTAGGCCAGGTCAGGTCGAGTGCAGGTCATCAGGTACATGAGGCAGCCAACAAGCTCTGGGTACGGGCCACTCGGCTCTACGGACTCATCCGAAGGCAGAGCTAAGAGCGAGTGGCGAGTAGACAGAGGAGTGGCCTGAGGCGAGGAGTACGTGAAGTCGAAGCGCTAAAGGACCTGCTGCACCATGTGTGACTGAGTCAAAGTGATGGTGCGCCGTGCTCTGTCCCGAGTGATCTGCAAGCCAAGATAGCTGCGCAGTTCACCCAGGTCTGTGCACGTGTGTCTCTTCTGCACCTCGCACTTCACGTGGGCGAGTCCAGCAGTGTCAGCTGTAGCAAAGACCAAGTCGTCGACGTACACGAGGATATAGAACGGCGGCAAAGTGGTGTCGGTGCGTAGAAACAGCGACGGGTCGGCTGTAGAAGGAGCAAACCCAAGAGCCGCAAGCGTAGTCCTCAGTGTGTCGTGCCACTCACGGGGCGCCTGGCGGAGACCGTAGACTGGCCGCCGAAGGCTCCACTGGGTACCAGGAGGAAACGACCCAGTGAAGCCAGGTGGGCGGCGCAGCCAGATCTCCTCGTGCAGGCTGCCCTGTAGGAAAGCTGTGCTGAAGTCAAGCGAGTGAAGCTCGTAGTCACGGTGAGCGGCAACGTGCAGCAGCACCCGAAGAGTGGTCATCTTCGGGGTGGGGGAGAAGGTCTGAAAGTAGTCAACTCCATGCCGTTGACTGAAGCCTCGAGCCACGTAACGCGCCTTGAAGACAGGCGGAGAACCCGGCGGCCGCTTCACCCTGAAAATCCACATGCCACTGACGATGTTCACCCCAGGTGGGGGAACCTCGTCAACGTAGGTGCCTGTGGACTTCCAGGAAGCCATCTCTACGTCCATGGCTGCCTGCCACTGAGAGGAGGTGGGACCCTCTATCGCCTCCGCGTAAGAGCGCGGAGTCGGGATGTCTAGTGCATCCGGGTCTCCCTCAGGGGCAAGCAGCATGGCCACGAGATGAGGTAAAGCAGCAGCAAGACACTGGAACTCCTCCTGCCTATCCTCAAGGACGTCCGTGCTAAGAGCACACTCACCCCCGACGGACGGAGGACAGACAGACTCAGACTCAGCAACAAGACTAGCGGCGTAGTCTAGACGACAGGCAGCAGCAAAGTCCACAAGCTCAGCAACCAAAGCAGACGCAGCAGTAGACTCAAACGACGGGTTAGTGACAACAGTGGCTAACAGACGCGTGACAGTAGGGTGCTCAGCACGAAACCGGTCAGACTCAGGGTCCGGAACGGCAGGCAGAGAGGACGCAGGGGGAGACGGCAGAGGAACAGGCTGCGGAGCAGAGGAAGGACGACGGACAACAAGGTGTGCGCTGGGGACAGCCGGCGGACGCGAACGAGGAACACGACGACTGGTACGACCAGAACGAACAGGCGAGACTGGACGCGACGCAGGCTCACGACGCTCAGCAAGACTACCTGTCTGCTCAGTGTAAGGAGAGGGAGCAGGCAGCGGTGAGCCAGGCTGTAACGGAAGACCAGTAGACGACGGGAGAGTAACAACCTGACAAAGAGCAGAGTCAGGCGGCGGCAGAGACGATGGAGACGGCGGAGCGAAGAACAGTCGTGTCGGCGCAGCTGCACCAGCACCAGCAGCTCCAGCAGCTCCAGCACCTCCAGCAGCTCCAGTGCCTCCAGCAGCTCTAGCACCTCCAGCAGCTCCAGAACCTCCAGCCTTAGAACTGGTACCTTCAGCGCCAGCACCTCCAGACCCAGCGTCACCAGCAGCAGCACCCCCAGAACCGGCACCTCCAGCCCCAGGGTCTCCAACCGCAGTGTCTCCCGCAGCAGCACCCCCAGAACTAGCACCTCCAGTCCCAGGGTCTCCAGCCTCAGCGTCTCCAGCAGCAGCACCCCCAGACGCAGCACCCCCAGCCCCAGCAGCTCCAGTACCTCCAGTACGAGCACCTCCGGGACCAGCGACTCCAGCACCTCCAGTAGCCGAAGTACCCGCACCACTCCGAGCTCCAGGAACGTCAGCAGAAGTACCTCCACGAGCAGAGCCCCGGGCTCCAGCAGCGCGACCCTGACGGCGACCGTACCAGTCGTGCAGCTGCTGTGGGGTGAGAGGCACACGCGGACGAAGGCGGCCACTCCAAGTAGGCCGCGCACCAGCAGTCCCAGTACCCTCAAGCGTCTCACCTCCAGACTCAGTACCTCCAGACTCCGCACACACAGCTTCAGCACCCCCAGACACAGTACCCTCAGGCGCAAGACCTCTAGTCTCCTCACGCGCAGGCTCAGCACCCCCAGACTCCGCACCCCCAGGAGCACCGCCCCCAACAGCACCAGAGTCAACAGGAACCGGCTGCAGAGGCGGTGAGGAAGGTCGCGGAGGGAACCCTGGAGGGGACTTCAAGCGTGGTGTGTGGCGGTAGGCCGCCGGGGCGTCAGCAGCAACGTCAACCCCCTTAGGTGATCCAGAGGTGTCGGAAGTGACCTCCAAAGGCTCAGCCAAGGGGGGGGGGTCTACCTGAGACACACCTGAAGGAGCAGGACCCTGAGGGGGGAGGGGGTCTACCGGGGGGGGACCTGGCGTAAGGAAGAGCGGCGGGGGGGGGAGCGGGGCAGTGCGGTAGGGGAAGAGAC